GAAGTCAGAGAGTATTTCTTCCTGAAGGGGAGGGCTAACTGGATTCATTCCTTAAAGTCAGGTTGTCTCAAGATACGATAAAGAATTTGCAGACCTTCAAACAGTATTTATCAGGTAAATGTGACAGCATTAGGTTCCAGCCAGAGTAAAAACTAGTTTTCCATTGGCTTGGGCTATGATTCCCCCCCCCGCACCCTGCAGTCCTCTGGGAGGAATCTGTTACAGCCAATAAAGACCTGGCTGTTTCAGACCTCCCAGAGGGCCTTTTCCTCCACTGCCTCCAGACACTTGCTGCTTTTAAGAAAGTGGTAAAAACGGATCTCTTCTGACAGGCCTTCCCAGAATAACACTTGCTGTAAGGAGATAAGCTTTAATTTCTCCAGCTGGCACAGCTGATCCTTTGTTTTATTATATTGTTTTAATGTATTGTTTTGTTTTAATTTTTTTCTGATTTAATCTTGTTTTAAGGGGTTGGAGGGCAGATTATGGGAGGAGGGAATGTTTTAACTTGTCATGTTTTAAATGCTGTAACCCACCTCGATTGCCATGCAGAGAGGCGGGCTATAAATAAAACTTATTATTATTATTATTATTATTATTATTATTATTATTACGTCTGGTGGAGATGTCCCAAAATGAAAATGTATTGGAAAAAAATACATATGGTGATGGAAGATATACTTAAAAACAGACTTGAACTATATCCAGAATTATATCTATTAAATATGACATACAAATTAGAATCGGATATAATTAGAAAACGTTGGAGAGTAATACTTTATGTGGTCTCGGCAGCAAGAATAGTAATAGCCTCCAAATGGAAACAGGAGATAACTCCAACGGTAGATGAATGGTTATTGAAATTGTCAGAGATGAAGGAAATGGATAAATTGACAAGGTTATTGAATAATGAGAATGTGGAATTGGTTGAGGAACAGTGGGCTCCAGTGGAAGAATATATAAATAGAAAATGGGAATAAAGCAGCAAAGTAGTTATTAAGATTGTGTAAATGAACTGGATTTGAGATGATGATAGAAGTAATAGATACAGAAATGATGTATGCAAAATGTGGAAAAAATGTACTTACTTTCAAAGAACTATTGAGAAGTTTGAACTATGGGTAAACTTACTGTAAAGATGACTAAGGAGGGTTGCAGACTGCCAGAAATAGTGCAAATTGAGTCCACTTTTAGGGTTAGGGTTAAGGTTAGGGAATCATGGGAACTGAATTTTATTGTGGCACTAGAGTTCTCTGACAAAGAAGGCTCAATGTCTCAGAAAAATAACAATTCCCATGATTCCTTAGCACTAACCCTAACCCTAAAAGTGAACTGAATTCACATTATTTTTGGTAGTTTGCAACCCCCCTAAGAATATATTTTAAGTAGATTTTTCATGGTTTTTTAAAAATAAAAAATAATTTAAAAAAACATAGTTCAGTTGAAAGTTCCTAAGTCGTCCATCCTAGTTTCTTGAGACACCTCCCATTTTTCCTCTTCGTTGGCACGGTTTGAAATTGTGCCTTCAGTATTTCCCTTTTGAGAAACTCCCATCTGTCTTGAACTCCCTTCTCTTTTAGTATTCCTGTCCATGGGATCATCCCAGCCTTTCTCTAAGTTTAGTAAAATCAGCTTTCCTGAAATCTAGAATGTGTGTCTGACTATGCCTGACTTCTCCTTTCCACTGTATAATAAATTGCAGGAGGACATGATCACTCCCCCCTAAGGATCCAACTACTTGCACCCCATTAACTAAGGGCCTCGGCAGATGGCTAATTGAGCCGTCTTCCGGGCCCG